GTGATTTGATTTTTATAAACCAAGTATTTTTTTTTAATCTAAACAAACAGCATAATATTAAATAATAAAAAAACGAATTATTATTAAATTAATTACAAACATCACAACTCACAAGGTAGTCTATTATTTACTTATTTTGAAATCAAAATGTTGTACGTTTAATTCACATTTATTTCGGTTACAATAGTTGTATGTATAGATACAGGGTGATTTTTTTTGTCATGAACCACTCATTATTTCAAAAAGTATCAGTTTTTCAAAATATTTTTTTACAAAGTTTCATGTTGTTAAAAAAACAACGTTTTTATTAAATAATTATGTTTTTAAATATTTTTTATCCTTTTAATTTTTTAAATTTTTTACTTTTTTGAATGACAACCTAGAGTTCTAATTTCATATTCCAAAGCAGAATATTTTTCTAACTATTTTGATACGTAAAAATCGAATTTTGGACTAGTAGTTTTTGAGATAAGTATTTTAAGTTTAGACAAGCGGAGTAGTGGATAAACATTTTGCGGGGTAACCCCGTACCACTCCACTCCAACAATCTATTGGCTTCTTAAAACATTGATATTTTTTGAAATAATGAGTGGTTCATGATAAAAAAAATCACACTGTAGACTATAAATAATGTAAATTAAGGTTTATGACCTATATCACATATCAATTTAACATTAAATATAAATTTGTACAAATCTAATTATTTTAATGTCAAAATAGATATTGACATTGCAATTAGGAGTTTTATCTACCAATAATTTTAGTATGTGGTTATCTAAAAATGAAATTGGAATACAACTAACACAAATACTTCTTGCATTGTGGGGACAATAATTAATTATTATTTAAARTTATATTATTGTTTATTCAATTTTGTAGAATTATCTAAGTTTCTAGGGTAACAACATATTTTTTCGATTTTATAAGGATTTAATTACAATTTGTTTGAAATAGATCACACCAGGGACGCCCGGAGGGAGGGGCCAGTGGGGGCCATTGCCCCCTCTGAGATTTTTCGTGTCACTTASGAAATTGGAAGTTTTTTTACATAAAGTTGATCTTGAGCGACTATTCGACAATCCTTGTATCTAACAAGTCATATAGGAGGTATTTAATCGCAATAACGATTATTTTYAATACTTTTGSCTGGTTAGGCGTAATTGCCGAAATCTTGTATGAAAAACATAAAAAAAATTTTGTTTGCCCCCCCTGAGCTGCATCTCTGCGGGCGTGCCTGGATCACACATTTACATATGATAATGTAACATAAGCTTTAAAATTATTGTAACATTATATGATATTATAAATCAGTTATTCTGAATAATGAATAAAGYATGACATAGGTACTATGTAGTATGTGCCTATATTAACATAATATTATTATATGCATAATTTTGCTTCGAAATTAGAAGTTACAATATAAAATACAGATATTAATAAATTAAACTTTGTGCATTTTATCAGTTTTTATATAGTAATTAGTTTAATTCAACATTAGTCAGTAAAAATTGTCTCTTAAATAATGTTGTATGCATTGCCAATTATCTATCATATCGATATCATGAAGATATGCTTTTACAAAATTGCTGACTAATATATTACATATAAATTTGATACAGATTATATAATTTTTCGATAATAGAACATAGAAATTGATGAAAATAATATATTCTGAACTTTTATTTGGTTCAAAATATAATTAGAAGAATCATTTATATATACTAATATAATTTCTTAGTCATGTTTAAAATTATTGAAAGGAAATTGTTTTTATAATATGGACAGTGTGATTCATTAATGCAATAATAGAACAAGAATAAAAACAATTCTACTTTATATTCTATATATTTCTTCAAGATTATTTTTATTGCTTTTGTAGATATATTTTATTCAATTATAATTAATTTAACTTATGATTAGAAAAATTATAACAATTAATATCACGTTGTGACTTGTGATGAATTGTATTATATAAAAATAAATCAATAGATAACTTTTAGAATTATCAACTCCGAATAACTAATTATTTTTACGACAAAAACATGGTGTAGTTTATCATACAAATAAGTTACAACAATATTTAAGAATATAATGTTATACTCTGGGGAAAATAAATATATTTTTCCTTGAAAATAACATGCATAGGCAACCAAACATTGATATTATAACTGAAGTATTCACATATTATTTCAAAAATATGAATCCATTCATCTATTAAAATATTATTTATATTCAAATAGTTAATTACTATTCAACGTGAATTGGTTTAATCAAATAATTGAATGAAAATCGCATATAAATAAGAATTAAAGTGTGCAAGAAATTARCCTAAMAATAATTATTGGCTCTGATTGTCCGCTAATTAGTTTAGCCTATTTTGTTAATAAAAAAGAAAATTAATAAAACTATATTACTCTGAGGAACAAAACAAAACGTGTACATAATAATATATATAGCTTGATACAATATTGTTTCTTAGTTTTTATTTTTTCTCAGAAGATTTAGTGTTTTTAGGCACACTTGACGATCCTTTATTAGTACGTTTAGGGGCAACTGGTGGATCGTTTGAAACTAACGGCGTGGAATTGTCTATAGAAATTTGAGAGGCTTGAGCTGTTTCAGAAGGTTGAGGTATGGTTTTTACTGCTTCGTCCAATTTGGGTACTGGTGAATCAGATTCTTTTGGCGGCTCTGTGCTCGCAACAGAAGTAGGTGTTTCCTTTACAGGTTCTACTAGTTCAGGTTTCGGCAATTCTATTTCCACTGATTTTAAAATACACGCTCCAGATGTTGGCAGTTCTGTGGATTCTGTTTTTTTCGATTCTAACTCTGCTGCTGACTGTGGAGGCTCTTTAATAATATCATCAGATTTTATTGTTTCTTTCACAGATTCCACTGGCGCTGATTTTATTGATTCTTGAGCTTGGGAAGCGGGCGTGGTTGGAGGTGTTGGTGCAGTAACAGTAGGRGTATCGGGTGTCTTAAGCTCTTTTAAAATATCCTTGGATAAATCAAGTTTTTCCAATTGTTTAACAGCCAGATCACTACTATCAAGTTCAAAACTCACAGGTGGAATAGTAGTTGAAGTTTTTTTCAAAGCAGATTTCAATGGCTTCGGTTCTTCAGTATGCACTACTTCTGGTGGTGTAGGTGTTGCTACAGCATCAGCCTTAACACTAACTTCTGGAACATTTCCAAGAGTTTCATTAATCTTGGACCATATATTAGTAAAGCTGTCTCTGCCCAAATAATCCATATTTCCTTGTTCCCAAGATTGGCGTCGAAGATAATCTTCTAAAGCTTTTTGGTCAGCAGTTTTTTCACCTAAAGGAACTCTTGCGAATTGTCCAGCCAAACCACCCTGAAAAATTTTTAAAAAAATTTAAATTTTATGTTTCTAAGATTTATTGAATAGATATGGATCTTGTATAAAAATATGTTAAAATCTACGATTATGTACATTTGAAAACTATATAATACTTACATTTATGTGACAATTCTGATCCTTAGGTACCTCGCAATGTGTCGGAGAATCAGGACGACAGTTATTAACACTCAAATTGGAGAAGGGGTTATTGGGAATATCATCAGAACATGCAGGATTTGGTTTATCACTTATTGACCGATCTGGCTCTGGCAGTTGCTTCTGCTCATTGAATTCTCTTACTTCAACATGTTCATTAATCTGCTCATCATTTCCAAATGCATCACATTCTTCCACTAGATCATTCTGAAAACTACAGTCTCTTGTTTGCTTTTCCGTATCAATGTTATTTATAGAATAATAATTTTCCACTTCCTGTTCACAATGATTATTCACACAAACTTCCACCAAATTTCTTTCAACACCAACACACTCTTGTTCAACTTCATAATTTGTTTTCTCACTTTTTTCAACCAAATACACATCCCAGGGGTCAATAAAATCATAATGATCTTGTTTTGGAGGATCATAAGTAGGAATATAACAATTATTTGAAGTATTGCTATTAGAAATATAATTATTATCAGAATTATAATTATTTAGATTATGAGGAGTATAATTATCAGACGTATTATTTTTATTACGGGATTTGGGATGAAAATCATAGGAATAACGGCTACTGAGGCGACTTTCTATCTGTGTAAAAAGCAAAAACAAAACAAAACGGTGCAAGTTATTTGTGTAAAATAGAACATGTGAACAATAAATCATTAAAAAAATACACCATATAAGTCTAAATGATCGCATGCAAAAAGCCAAAAAACCATCGACAGAAGCCCCAGCAGCAGTTATGAAGGATGAGTGTATGCGTGTATAAAAAAAATTCTAAATGTTAAGACTAATATCTATAGTAAAGCGTTTTAACTTTACATACCATTTTGGAGTAGTTGTAACACCGGATCTTTTGAATATTTCTAGTTGAGCTTTATACAACACAAGTTAGTTTAAGCAAATAGTTAGAACAATGATCTTAGTACATAGGTTTTTGATCCCAAAATGTAAAAGTAATCCTTAAATTGTTAAATTTAGTAATTAATTATATGTTACCATTTCGGTGGATAGTCGAGGATGGACATGACGACAGAATAAATCCCACCAAAGTTGCAATAGTTCTTGTAATCCAGATCCTCCGTGAGTGGACGTTACAAGTCTAGTTTCTGTATTAAACGACTGAAGCCAGGGTTTACTGGAAGATATAAAGTGAACGATCTTCATATGTTGACCAAACCTGAAAATATAGTTTTGTAAATTTGCATTTTCAAACAAAGAAGACCACATTAATTTCCTACTGTTTTAGTGCTGGTAAATATGAATACGTAGATGACCAAACTACATTATAGGTAAACGATAAATGTTTTGAAATATCTGTGTTGGACCATTCTTTGAAAAACATATTTAACAATCCTTGGTCTCCACCTAAAAACAAAACGCGAGCATATTCAATGCACAATAATTGTAAAAATTAAATATGTTTTACCATCGAAAGATCCTCTGGTCCTTGCAAATTCTAATAACTGGCTAAATGTGTCCTGAGAAGGTTTGTACACAAAGACCCCAGAGTTGAAGCAATCTGGCCATCCTGGATCTGGAGCAGCTGATAATTCTTCACGTTCAAATAGTTCATCACAATTTTGCAACACCTTTTAAATATAATTAATTTGATAATATATGACGCACTACTTTAACTAGTTTTCTGAACAAAGTCCAGCTTTAAATTGCTTTTAATAATCTAATTGAACTTTGTATTCGTCAATATAATATAGTATTATAGACTATAGTTGTTTTACTTCGAGAAGAATTGTTTTCTTTGCAATATAATTTTTATCGCATATATATTTGACGAACATCCGGATATATTAT